CCACGGGTGGGAAGCCAAGGTCTTGTCTCGGCCACCGAGGTCCTCCTGGCAGCTGCTGTCTTCTGCCTGGTCTTCCTGCTCATCCAGTCCCTCCAGCAGCACGTGCCCCAGGGGCTGAAGAGCCCCCCAGGACCCAGAGGCTTCCCCATCCTTGGCAACGTGCTGGAGCTGAGGAAGGACACCCACCTGGTGCTGACCAGGCTGAGCCAGCAGTACGGGGACGTGATGCGGGTCAGGATCGGCAGCCGGCCCGTCCTGGTGCTGAGCGGGCTGGACACCATCAGGCAAGCCCTGGTGAAGCAAGGAGAAGACTTCATGGGTCGTCCTGACCTCTACAGCTTCCAATACATTTCAAACGGGCAGAGCCTGGCCTTCAGCCCTGACTCAGGGGAGGTGTGGAAAGCCCGCAGGAAGCTGGCCCAGAACGCCCTGAAGAGCTTCTCCATCGCCCCCAGCCCCACCTCCTCTTCCACCTGCCTCCTGGAGGAGCACGTCTCCAAGGAAGCTGCCTACCTGGTCACCAAGTTCCTGGAGGTGATGGACAAGGAGAAGAGCTTTGACCCTAACCAATACCTGGTGGTCTCTGTGGCCAATGTCATCTGTGCCATGTGCTTTGGCAAACGTTACGACCACAGCGACCAGGAGCTGCTCAGCGTGGTGAGCATCAACAACGATTTTGGAGATGTGGCAGCTTCTGGCAACCCTGCTGACTTCATCCCCCTGCTCCAGTACCTTCCCAGCCGCACCATGCAGCTCTTCAAGGACATCAACAGGCGTTTAAACTGCTTTGTGCAAAAAATTGTCCAGGAGCATTATACCAGCTTTGATAAGGTAAGAGCTTGGATGGTGTGGGTAGAGATGACTTCAGCTGCCAGAGATGCTGCCTGCCTGGCAACTGGGAGAAGAGGGTACTCCCTTGTCCCCCACTTCTGCCCAGGAAAGCTCCTTAGAGTTCTCCAATCTGCAGTTAATCCCCCCTTGGGGCTGGCACTGTCTGGGGGAGGATTCCCCAGCCCTGGGTGTCCATGATGTCCCTGACCCATGGTCTTTTCCCCAGGAGCACATCCGGGACATCACGGACTCACTGATTGAGCACTGCCAGGACAAGAGTGTAGGCGAGGATGCCCAGGTCCCCCTCTCCAATGAGAAGATCATCAACATTGTCTATGACCTCTTTGGGGCTGGTGAGAACATTTCTGAGGGGAAAGCCTCTCTGCTGGGAGGCTGGGTGGGGGGAGCCAGAGCTGCTGTGTTTGGGTGCCTGGAGCTGCTGCTGGGCTCTTAGGTGCTCTCCTCAGTGGTGACCAAGGCAGATGGATTTTCAGTGATAGCTGATGGGGGAGCAGCTCCATGGGAAACATCTAGAGGGACAGGAGCTGTCATTACCCACTTGCCCATCTGTCTTTGGTTACTAAATGCCTTTTCCATGTCTGTGCAGGCTTTGACACTGTGACAACTGCCTTATCCTGGAGCCTCATGTATGCTGCCTTGTACCCTGACATCCAGAAGAAGATCCAGAAAGAACTAGGTGAGTCCATCAGCCTGTTTCTTCCAGGACCAAAACCTCTCTGGTGAGGACTGAACCCCAACCCTCTCCCTCCTCTCAACCTCCTGCAGACCAGACCATTGGCCAGGAGAGAAGACCGAGGCTGTCGGACCGGGGCACCCTGCCCTACCTGGAAGCCTTCATCCTGGAGATGTTCAGACACTCCTCCTTCCTGCCCTTCACCATCCCACACAGGTACAGGCTGGAGTGGCTGACACATAATTTGGGAGATTTTGGGGAGTGGTTTTCCAGCTGCCAGACTTGCTGCCCTCCTGGGGTCCTGCACTTTGAGGGCAGTTACACCTCAATCCCCTTGCTAGAAGAAGGGGTGGAGAACACCCCTGGGTTTATATTTCCTCCTGCCCTGGGAGAAACCTCATCCCAGTTCCTTCATCTTCCTGAAACCAGAATCTTCCTGCTTGAGGAAAAGTGTGAACAAGACAATTTTGTACAGGGAATTTCTTAGCCAGTACAAAAAGTACATTGAAAATGCAACACCCCTTGGGCTTGTCTGGCTTTGTTTCCCTGTGAAGCTGCAGGTCCCATGTTCTGGAGCCCCCAGCATAAGGGCATGGAGCTCCTGGAGAGAGTCCAGATGAGGGCAGAAAGCTGGAGCAGCTCTGCTCTGGAGCCAGGCTGGGAGAGTTGGGGTGTTCAGCCTGGAGAAGAGAAGGCTCCTGGGAGACCTTAGAGCACCTTCCAGTGCCTGAAGGGGCTCCAGGAAAGCTGGGGAGGGACTTGGGACAAGGGCAGGGAGGGAGAGGACAAGGGGGAAGGGATGAAAACTGGAAGAGGGAGATTGAGGTGAGACATGAGGAGGGAATTGTGGAGTGTGAGGGTGGTGAGAGCCTGGCCCAGGCTGCCCAGGGAAGCTGTGGCTGCCCCATCCCTGGCAGTGTTGAAGGGCAGGTTGGATGGGGCTTGGAGCAGCCTGGGCTGGTGGGAGGTGTCCCTGCCCATGCAGGGGTTGGAGCTGGAGGATCTTGAAGGTCCCTTCTACCCCAAACCAATCTGATTCTACAACTCTCTGATTCACTCCTCCCCTCCACCTGAACTTCTTTCAGCACAACCAAAGCCACAGTGTTGAACGGCTACTACATCCCCAAGGACACCTGCGTGTTTGTCAACCAGTGGCAAGTGAATCATGACAAGTGAGTACCCCAAAGCCCCTCCCACCCAGGCAGAGGTGGGTGTGCTTGGCATTGAGGTCACTCCCACCCTTTCAAGCAACATCCCAAAAGCCAAACAGGTTGTGAAGGCAGGAAAAGGCAGATTTGATCCAAAAAGCATGTGGGATTGGTGCTGAGCTCAGGCTCCTGGGAATGGAGTTGGTCACAGCAGTTCCCCAACCCCAGGGCTCAGCCAGTTTCTGGGCAGGAACATGGTGATGTCCTTGATGTTCCAGAGCTTCCACATCCATGTGAGCTGGCAGCTTGGGCTGCTGAATAATCAGGAATCAGTAGATCCTCCTGCCAAGCAGCCCTTGTGATCCGGGCTGACAGCTCTGGATGTGCTCAGTGGGAACTGTCTGGTTCTCTCTTTTTGAGGAGCAAAAACATCCCAACGTGACTCTTGTTAAGCTCAACAGGCTCATGGAATTATTGCTGATAATCAGCTCTGGGGAATGAGAGGGGATCTGGGAACCAAAGCCCCCTCTTCCCCCTCCACTGCTCTGCAGCACAGCCCCTCCTGAGGGGACTCAATTGCCCTGGTGGAGAAGGTGGTTCCCAGATCAGGAATTCCAGGTCAGAAGCTCAAGATCTTTGCAGCCCAATAACCCAGCAGAAATATCACAATATTCCTTCTGCTCCTTAATATGCTGGAGAATATTCCAGTGTCCTTGGAGCCATAGAGGATTCCCCACATCCAAGCAGAAATTCTGGAAAAACCCACCTGCAAAACCAACCCCTCCCAGCAGCCAGGCTGGGGAGGTTTTCTGAGAGGATTCCAGGTGGGAAAACCCTTGGGTGTCCATCCAGAACTGCTGCCCAACTTCTGTGCTCTCCCTTTGGCTGGGATCTCTAGCTGGATGAAACCCACCCTTGGTATCTGCTGGGGCAAATCCAACCTGAGTTTGAAACAGATGTTCCAACAGACTGAGCTGATGGGATTTGATGCATTGTTGGAAGTTTAGGTCAGGGATAGAGGTTGCCAAAGTGGTTTTTTTTTTGATGGTGAAAAAAAACCTCTGCTGCAAAGAGTTTCACCCATTACGGTGGGTGAAAATGCCTTTCTCAGGTGTCTCTCCTTTCTTCTCCAGGAAGCTTTGGAAGGACCCTTCCACCTTCAACCCTGAGAGGTTCCTCAACGCTGCGGGGACCGAAATAAACAGGATAGAGAGTGAGAAGGTGATGACTTTTGGCTTGGGGAAGAGGCGATGCATCGGGGAGTCCATCGGCCGCTGGGAGGTCTTCCTGTTCTTGGCCACCCTGCTGCAGCAGCTGGAGTTCAGCCTCCAGCCCGGGGAGAAGGTGGACATCACCCCCCAGTATGGACTGACAATGAAATACAAGAGATGCGAGTGCTTCCAGATTAAGAAACGTTCCCCCACGAGGAGCTCTCTGTGAGGAGGAAGCCAGTGGGACACACACGCTGCTTTTTGCCAACGCTCTTGAGAAGCCAGCACAGCCTCCCCCCTCTCCCTCCTCCCTGTGTGGCTTCACTGGAGGCTTGTTCATCTCATGCAAATGCCAAGGATGAAGCTGGCTTTGTGGGGCTCCTCATCATCCCCCCCTCACCCTTTGCCTACAGGAAAGCTCACCAGAGGTCCAAGCTGCCCACCCTTGGAGGTCCAGCCCCGCGGTGGGGTTGTGGAGGATGCTTTGGGATGTTGGGTGGGATGTCCAGCAGGAGCTGCTGCAGGGAGCTGCCAAACGGGAATCCACCTGCAGGTTCTCCCCTAGAAAACCTGGCCAGCCTTTCCCCACGGGCTGCAAGGCTCTCCAGCTCATTTGGCAGAGCTGTTTGCAAAGCCTCCAGCTCCTGCTGCCAATGGGGACGGGCTCTCCTGCTGCTCCAGGTGCCTTCCAAAGGGCTCTCAAGGTGCCAGAGGCCAGACCTGCCCCTGCACCACCAACCAGCCTTCTCCAGAAAGTGCTGGGCGTGCTCTTGCACTGCTAAATCCCCTTGAATATTCACCCATGAAAGGAAGCCTGAGCCTTTCTACCAATCCTTGGTGGGCAACCAACTAGAGAAAGAAATAAATAAAAAAATCTGCCTTTCAGATGATGTATTTGCTGCTTTTTAAAAAAATTCATCCTTTTTTTTTTTTGTTTAGCAAGATTTCCACATCCAGAATAAAAGGAGGGAGGGAAGGAGGGCTGGAGGAGATGGAAGGTGAATTCTCATGGCAAACAGAGCAGAGATTCCTGCTTGTTTGTACCTGCGTGGAATTAATCCTTGTGCTGGGACAGAAACTTGCAGGGTGGTTGTAACCCAATAAATACCTGTATGAAAGCCGTGGAAGGTCCTTGCTGCTCTGGTTCCACTGGGAGGAGGTTTTCTGGGGGGGAACAAAATCGAATCACACCTCTTCATCAGCCTTAAAAATCGGGCTTGGATAGGTTGGGGCTGGATTTTTTTCTGTAGGACATGAGGTGGTTGATCCTTTGCCATGAGGGTGGTGACACTGGGGGAGACTTTAATTGTTGATGGTGCTGGCTCTTCTTCTCTCCCTGGGTATCCAGGGAAGCTAAAGTCTCTGCTGGGATTTGTGGAGAGCTCTGGCTCAGTCCAGGATTTCCCCCAAAAATCAGGATTATCCCTGAAAAAAAGCCTTTCACAACACGGAGGGAGGTGACGCCCAGAGGGATGTGCCTGCCCTGTGTTCCCCCAGCTGGGAGCTGTTTTTTTGGAGGCTTTGCATCATTTCCCTCAACAAAAATTAATACAGGGATAAATCAAGATATAATAATCAGGCAGGTGATGGAAAACTTGGGGGCTGTGCATCCCTGACATGACATCCCAGCAGGGACCAGCCTGGTGGGGTAGGAATTCCCTCCTGCCCCACAGACACGGCCCTCAAATTTGGGAGGGGATGGGAGGGAATCATGTCAGAAAAGTTGGCAGAATTCCATCTTCCAAGCATGCTCTTCCCCAGATCCCTGCCCTGGGATGCCCCGTGGCATGAGGTGCTCTTGTCCCACATGGGGATAAAATGAAAAGTAGCCCAGAAAGGTCAATATTTGACTCCATCCAACCCTGGGACCTAAAGGGCAGGGGAATAATGAAGGAGCTTTTTAATTTGGTGGCTGTGAAAAGGCTGCTCCCTGCATGAGGAACCTTCTTCCCACCAGGACCTCGCTCATCTTCGTGTCGTTGTCACTGACCAGTGTTGTAATTAGTTTGTTTTTAATTAGTGTCCCCAGCCCAGGCTGTTGCTGAGCTTGGGAGGGTCAGCGGGCCCCGGGCTCCAGCATCCCACCCACTCCTTCCTCACAGGAGCAACCTCAGCAGCCTCTGCCTTTGAAGAGGGGACAGAAGGTTTTAATGGAGCTGAGGAAAGAGCGGGAGATGAACGTGTCTGGGGGTTGGAGGGAAGTGATGGTGACAGAGGTGATGGAGGTGGGAGAGCAGTGATTTCATAGAATCACTTTGGCTGGAGAAGACCTTATAGATCATAGAATCATAGAATGGTTTGGGTTGGAAGGGACCTCAAAGATCATCCAGTCCCAACCCCCTGCATGGGCAGGGACACCTCCCACCAGCCCAGGTTGCTCCAAGCCCCAGCCAACCTGCCCTTCAACACTGCCAGGGATGGGGCAGCCACAGCTTCCCTGGGCAACCTGGGCCAGGCTCTCACCACCCTCACACTCCACAGTTCCCTCCTCATGTCTCACCTCAATCTCCCTCTTCCAGTTTTCATCCCTTCCCCCTTGTCCTCTCCCTCCCTGCCCTTGTCCCAAGTCCCTCCCCAGCTTTCCTGGAGCCCCTTCAGGCACTGGAAGGTGCTCTAAGGTCTCCCAGGAGCCTTCTCTTCTCCAGGCTGAACACCCCAGCTCTCCCAGCCTGGCTCCAGAGCAGAGCTGCTCCAGCCCTGGGATCATCTCCGGGGCCTCCTCTGGACTCAAATTTGATCACCCAGCCCAACCCTTAACCCACCCCTGCCCCGTGTCCCTCAGCACCATCTCCAGGGCTTTGAAATCCCTCCAGGGATGGGGGCTCCAACCCTGCCTTGGGCAGCCTGGGCCAGGCCCTGACAACCCTTGCCAGGCAGGAATTGTTCCCCAGATCCAACCTCAACCTCCCCTGGCACAACTTGAGGCCGGTTCCTCTTGTCCCACCCCTTGTTCCTGTTGTGCTCCAGCCCCTTCCCCAGCTCTGTTCCCCTTCCCTGGACACGCTCCAGCCCCCTCCATGTCCTCCTATCCTGAGGGGCCCAGACCTGACCCAGGATTCCAGGTGCCCCCTGCCCAGTACAGGGGGTGATCCCTGCCCTGCTCCTGCTGGCCACTCCAGTGCTGACACCAGCCAGGATACTGGTGGCCTCCTGGCCACAAGGCAGGATCTACCCAGCTGGATGGGCAACCAACCCCCCGGAGCTTCCCGGGAGAGGGAGTGGTGGTGGGAGGGAGGGGATGGAGCTGGGAGGGAGGGGATGGAGCTGGGAGGGAAGGGATGGAGCTGGGAGGGAAGGGATGGAGCTGGGAGGGAGGGGATGGAGCTGGGAGGGAGGGGATGGAGCTGGGAGGGAGGGGATGGAGCTGGGAGGGAGGGGATGGAGCTGGGAGGGAGGGGATGGAGCTGGGAGGGAGGGGATGGAGCTGGGAGGGAAGGGATGGAGCTGGGAGGGAAGGGATGGAGCTGGGAGGGAGGGGATGGAGCTGGGAGGGAGGGGATGGAGCTGGGAGGGAGGGGATGGAGCTGGGAGGGAGGGGATGGAGCTGGGAGGGAGGGGATGGAGCTGGGAGGGAGGGGATGGAGCTGGGAGGGAAGGGATGGAGCTGGGAGGGAAGGGATGGAGCTGGGAGGGA